CACTAAGGAAGATGTAGTTCTAGAATTTGTTGATACTTTGCACCAATTAGCGGATATCTTTACAAAACCCTTAGACAAGGAAAGATTTTGGACACTTAGGAGAGAATTAGGTTTGACCAAGCTATCTTCACTTAGTGTTTAAAATAAATTGTAGCACTTTTAATAAATCTTGAAAAATGCTTATAATAATAATTTTTGATTGCATTCTTGCTATTAGTTAGGGGGAGTTTGTGATTCTTAATGAAAATTAATTTTTATGTTCAAAAAAAAAAAACAATTAAAGACTAATTTAATTATTTGAACATAATTAATGTTTGATATATGAGTTGCCAATACCACTAGAAAAGATTAATTTAGCATTTTGTGCTTAAAAAATCGGATTTTAGCATTTTGGTGCAGAGGGAATCGATCCCCCCCTGAGGGAACCGATTCCCCCTTTGAAGGGGAACCGATTCCCCCCACAGGGGAATCGATACCCCCCTGGGGTTCTGCTAAAATCGGGCAGAATAACCCCAAATTCTCCAAAAACCCTCTTCCTCTCTCTCTCCGCCGTTCTAACCCTCTAAACCCCTCAAATCTCCATTTTTGCCTCAAATCAACGATATTAATCGGAATTTGCTTCATAAATCATCTTCCAAACCTATTGGAATCATTAAAATCGTGCAAACAACATCTAAATCCCCTCAATCTTCATATTTCAAGGTAAATTTTTCTAAACTCTTTATTTCATTATTTTTGAACATAGGATTAGTTTCAATTAGTTCTAGGTTGAAATAGTGATCGGGCATTGATTATTTAGTGATTAGAAACTAGATGTTACAATTAATTTCATCAAAAATTATATTGTTATTATGAAAAACTATACATATATTGTTTCTCAAAACCATATTTTTCAAAAGTTTTTCAAAAACTTTGCCCATTAGGATTGTTTTAGAGAATCTTGAAATATTGAGGACTCATTTGAGTTTTGGGATTAATTGAATTGCATACACTTGTTTTAAAATTGCAGGTTATTATATCTATTCCGATTTCCTTCACCATGTCAAATCCTAAACGTCCTAGGTCTTCATCTAGTCGTTCTAGTCGTCAACCAAATCCACCTCAAAATCCTCCTTCTATTCCAATTTCTAATCCCAATCCCACTGATCCTAACTTGACTATCCAAAATTCGTGTTTCAATCATCCTGGGTCTAGAAATCACCGATATTGGTATTATCAATATTTCGATTCTTACAAAATCCGGGAAGAACGTATTCCTTCTCGTCAAGCTATGTTAGCTATCGATTTTAAATATCTTCCCATTTTACAAGAATGGAAATTTGATAAACTATTTGATCTTGAACCCATCGTTTACCATCAACTTGTTCGTATATTCTACTCTAATGCTGTATGTGTTAAAAACCAAGCTGAAACAGAAACTATAGGAATTCGTTCCTACCTCCTAGGACAATTCTTATATATTGACCCGGCATATATAGCCAATACATTTGGATTAGATAATGATGGTATCTCGAATGAAAAACAAATTTTAGGTTCTCGTTACAAAAGAAGAGATAGTGCGAGTGTCTTAGACCTACATGAGCGTTTTCTTCATCTAATGATTTCTTGGTGGTTTCGACCATCCGGAGGTCGTTATTCTACTCTTAGAGCTTTGGATCTTTGGTGGTTACATTGTTTCGAAAACCGTATTAAAATTAACCTACCTCAGATTATTTTTGCTGAAATTGTTGAAACCGTAAATCTTGTTCCTAACAAGAAACACTGTTCATCTCTAGTTTACGGTTGCTTTTTGAGTAATCTGTTTTCCAAAGCTGGGCTTAGAGTAAGTCTAGATGTCGTTTTTCCTCTTAAGAAACAAATAAATCTTCTTTCCTTAACGAGAGCGGGATGGGTAAAGGACAAAGAAACCGGTGAATGGGTTCGTTCTTCTACTCCGGGAGCTAGTTCTTCACAAGCTCCACCCGAAGCTGACGAAGATCCCGAGTTTGAACAATTAATGATGGATATTGATGAAGTTGAAGAAGAACCTGATCAGCCCGAAGAGCAGCCCGAGGAGCAAGCACAACAAACGCATCAAATGCCTCCATATTTTCAATCCTTTATGGAGACATTCGATTACCGATACGCTACCATGGACTCGCGTTTTTCCTCTATAGAGTCTCATTTATCCACAATGGGAGCTCAACAATTAGAGATTCTTCGGGAGATGCGTGCAAACAATGAATCAACCAACGCTCGTATAAATGAACTCACACACGAGATGGCCGCTATGCGAGCCCGTTTTCCTCCTACCGATCCGGATGCTTGATTTTATGTTTAGCTTTAAAACTTTGAACAAAATGAATATTGTTTCAACATTTTGATATGTTTGATTTTGTGGATTGTTGGATTTTGGATATATGAATGGTGTGAACTTATATGTTTGGTGTGTTTTATTCATTTTTGCATCATTTACATTATCATTAGCAATATGACCAATTTTGCCATATCACATTATTTATGAATATTGAATTATGAAACTAATGGCTAACCTCTCTTTTGATTATGATCTTAGCAGCTTAAGCTTATAATTAATAAATCAATTGGCTACATGATTTACAAAACCTTGTTTTACAATGTCTTTTTGATTTAACAAAAAGGGGGAGAAGTGTTAAAGTAAGGGGGAGTAATTTCTAATTTTAATTTTCTAATTTCAAAACTTGATTTCAAAAATCTTAAAATTACTAAAATGTTTTGTTATATCAAAAAGGGGGAGATTGTTGAAACATTTTAATATTTCGATATAACAAATTAAGTTAAATGGATTTTAAGATTTTCCAAATGATTTTCTAAATATATTCGATATAACTATTCGAATATCAAAACATTACTCCAAATATTTCAAAAATCATTTTTTGATCCATACTTAAGTGTAAAATTAAGTTTTAATCATAAAACAATTTCAAAATATTTTACAAAGTATTTCGAACCAATTCAAAGCCAAAAATTCCAGAATACTCAGAGGGAACCGATTCCCCCCATAGGAGGAACCGATTCCCCCCTGAATGGTTTGGCTCCGAGATTTCCAGAATGCTCGGAGGGAACCGATTCCCCCCCAAGGGGGTACCGATTCCCCCCTGTTCAACGGTCGAAATATTTGAATTTTACACTTAGGGAACCGATTCCCTATGATAGGGAACCGATTCCCCCCACTGTCCAAGCTGTTTTATTAAATGTTTTCACACTAAAACGGCTATAATATCTTCTCTAATTATCCCCAACGTTCAGAAGTGATTCAAGGTGTATTTAAGCAAGCTTAGAAGCCATTGATCAAAAACAAGAAATATCAAGCAACTAGAATCAAGAGAGAATCAAAGAGAAAGCATCAAACCTCAAGTTTGAGCATTTCAAGCCCATTTTCATTCAATATTCATTTTGCTTTCAAGAACACTTTTTGTGCTCAATTGTATTCATCTTTGAGTGTTCTTTTCTTTGTTCTAGAATTGTGCAAACATCTTACCTTGTGAGGTTTTCTTGTAAGTTTGCAAATTTGTAATCTTCTCTTTGAGAAAAGAGTGTTCTCAAGAGTTGGGGTATACTCTTGAGGGAATTGTAAGGTTATCTCTTTGGCCTCAAAAGAAAGAACAAATTAGTGAATTTGTTGGAAAATCCTTAGTGTGGATAGCTAAGGTAGTGGACGTAGACTTTGTTTGAGAAAGTCGAACCACTGTAAATCGCTGTGCAATTGCTTTCAATTTTCTGCAAAAGCTTCCACAAAATTTTTATTGCCAATTCACCCCCCTCTTGGCCAATTTCGTCATTCGATTAACTCAACAAAATGTAATGATACTTCAGCCAGAGGAGCTAGGGTTAGTTGGAACCAAGTCTGCTCCCTTAGATCTGAGGGAGATTTAGAGCTTAGAAGGTTGGTTGATTGGAACAAGACCTGTTGTTTTTTGCTTGTTAAGAGCATTCTTGCTAATGAGGGATCCTTGTGGATAGCATGGATCAAAGCCTACTGCTTCAAGCAGAAGGATTATTGGAGTGTTGGGAATAAACCTCATTTCAGTTAGATATTAAGAAAGTTGATCAAGCTACGCGTGGAGGCCAGAGTTCTGTTTCCTGCTTCTGTAAGCTGGGCACAGGTTAATGGTGGCTGGATTTGGGATAAAATTCGGGAAAGAAAGGACAAGGTGATATGGCATCGGCTAATCTGGTTCCCTTCTCATGTCCCTAAATACTCTCTGATCACTTGGATGACAATCCTTGATAAGTTGCCTACCAAAGACAGATTGGCTAGGTTTGGCGTGATGGCAGACCTTGGTTGCAGACTTTGTGGTGCTGGACTGGAATCAAGGAATAATCTGTTCTTAGAATGCTTGTATTCGAAAGTAGTTTGGGATTCCATTATGCATGCTTGTAGGTTGCAACAACAGGGATTTAGCTGGGAGGACTTGCTTGGTTGGATGGCTTGCAATTGGAAAGGTAAGTCCTTGTTGGTTCACATTCTTAAACTAGCATGGACTGGATTCGTTTATTTTACATGGGAAAAACGCAACCATCGTAATTTTAGGGGATTGTCGCATTCGCCTGATGCAATTGTAGATATTATAAAAGGAGCGGTTAGAACAAAATTATATAGGCGCGATATGAATAGAGTGGATAATGTAAATAGGCAATTTTGCATTGATTGGGAACTCATGTAATTGGTTGTAATTATAACTTGTAGCAGCTTGCTGCTCTCTTTGGATGAATAGATTGATTATCCAAAAAAAAAAATTCTAATGAAATTTGTGTCAAAATGGAGATTGAGACTGCAAATAATCTGATAATTTTACACGGTTTAAATCCGTCAGATGAAACTGCAAATAATCTGATCTATCATCCTTTTACACGGCTCCAAGTTTTATACGAAGAATAGATCGTAGCTCAAACACTAAAAACAAAGGCCCTTTCACCTTCGACATGAATGAAACTGTGTTTTACACGAGAACGTGTCTCAACTGTAACAGGGACAGTGACAGGGACTTAAAAAGGGGATTCAGATTAGGAATGAAAACACTATGGAGGAAAAATACAGAACATAGACACACGTGAACAACTTACAAGGAAGAAACAAGCATGCACATTCATGAACATCCGAAACATCGACTGATGGAGAATAAACTGGACGGGATTGGTGATGGCTCGGGCTCGGACTTTTTGTGATGAAGATGTTTAAGAAATGCTTTTACTGCACCGGTCACCCCATCCTCGCTCTCCATTGCCTTGGCAAGTTCGATGGCTTTCTCCTTCACCTGACATATTTTATTGGTGAGTTCACTGCAAATTTTCCAAAACCCGCATACAATCATCTTCAAACTATGGGTCAAATTCTAAATTGGTCTATGAAATTTAAAATGTTTCAATTGAATCCTCAAACTAAATTATCATTCCAATTAAGTCTTTCTATCTTCTAGTGTCAGCTTTCGCCCATATGTTTGCATCGATTTGATGTTTTTAAAATATCTATAATCCATACTTGTTTAAACAATGAACCATGTCAGGTATAAGCTTTAACATCAAGCTCACGCCTACAAATAGACTGACAAAAGAACCTAATTGGATCAATACGTTAAGTTGAGCAGACAATTGGAATATTTTGATTCAGGGACCAACTTAAAATTAGGCCCAAGGTTTGGATACTTCTGATGCAATTAACCCTTTTTATATACATATTTTACTTTAGACCTCCTAAGGAAACAATATGATACAAAATAAACTGAGCAACTAAATCTGGCATCACGAAATAAAAATTACCTTTGGATCTAGCATGAATTTTATTGCGTCAACCAACTTGGGTAGTGAGAATTCATCGACTGGGATGGGTGGAGGTCCCACTCCTCTGGCATGCACCCGCTCTCCCCAGAAAGGTTGATCGCCAAAGAACGGAACAATGGTAGTCGGGCACTAAAATTTATGCAGTAATGTGTGGGACAAAAGGTAAGTGTACATGAAACGAAACCAAAAGCTCAAATTTGTTATGCAGGCAAAACAATGTTCTTATTCACAGAACTAGAAGTGCATAAATAACAGCAAGGATGAAAATCTTTGTTCTTACTGCAGCTTTAAGACCAGCAGCAGTTGTTCCAGCACCTCCATGATGTACCTGAAAGCAAGGAAAATAAAATATCTTGCTAGTCAGAAAGAAATAGTCAGCTTCAAGAGAAATCAGAAATTCTGAAGAGATGGAAAAGATAAAAAATTTCAAAGTCAACTGGTACGATCAAGTATTTGCACTTCCTCGTATCTCACAAGCATGTGTTACATTGCTGGATACATGCCTGTTCTGCAACTTAATTTATTTATTATATTATGTGTTAATAGCATACTTGGCTTCTCCTTGAACTTTTATCCCAACTTTCCCTGACAATATATGCCACATATCTTTGGCACAATATCATGGAATCAAGCATCCATCATACCTTAGATCTGCATCAATTAGTTGCAAACATGATTGTAGAGATAGATTAGATTGATTAGTACATTCTTAGGAATCAATCAGATTTTATTATTTCCTTGTATAAGCTTCCTAACTCTCTCTATATACTCTTTTAAGTCGATAGTAAAATTAGATCTTCTCTCATCAGCTATGTCTTATAACAGTTGCATCAGCTGGCGCCAACAATTGCTTAAGATAAAACATAGGGATCTCCTTGCTGGTAAAGTAGTATAAAAGATAGTGTTCTTCCAAAAGTAACGACAGCCATGTTATTCCAGGAAGAGCCAAAGTGATAATGATGTCAAAATAGCTAGTGAAAGTTTCCCCTTTTTTCTTCAAGACTAGAGGGACGGAAAATGGATTTACAAATCTGAAACCTTCAATGTGGTAAGACCATCATAAGCTCTGGCCAAGTAATTGACCCAGCATTCCAAGCCCATTTCCAGTGGAAAGAGCTCAGGACACAAGTTATACCAATATATAGTAGACCTGCAGTTAATGTATAAAGAAACTAAACAGATACAACGAGAAATAATCCTCCGAAACATGCAACTCTAACTTATTGACTTACCACAGCCTTGCATTGCAAGAACAGCCAATCACGAGGAACATTGTCCAATAAGTACACAAAGTCCTTGTTTTCTGCCACTGAAATAAACAAATAAACAACTAAGCAAATATGCTAGCTTAACAAGGAACATTTATAGATCCAAAAGTAAGAAAAGCAGAACCTACGATTTCCAAGGCCCCCCCAGCCTTTATTAATGATACCTCTCTGTCCAGTTTGTTCCAATGCGTCTACTATTATTTGGGTCATTTTTTCTGGTTCTTGAACAGGCTGACAAGAGAAAAGAAATAGTTCAAAAGGTTGTATAATTTCAAGAAAAATAAAAAGCATCCATACAACGATAATTAAGAATAATATTTCATAGTAACCTACTTAACTTTGACATCCATACACTATATTAAGGATCAAACCGATCTTATGATCACTGAAATGAATCTCTACCCAACGAGAAAGAGGGAAAATGCATAATTATGCTTTCAGTGTGCTCGGCTTATATTAGCAACACAAATAACTCAAATCAAAATTTGCTTGAAAACAATTCCTTATTAAATCATACGCTTAACAGAATGGGCAAAAGTCATATTACCTTGGAACATCGACAAAATGTTATTCTAAAACAGGATGATCAAGCATTTGACTCAAACCATGTTGCTATATACTCTAAAATAATATAGTGGATTAACAAGAAATGACAATGACATAAGAAAACAAACAACATATAAATATAGTAAAATCACGATGTGAAAAGAAAACAAACTCACAAGGCTTCCGAATCCAATATAAATAGGCTTTGGACCAGCTTCAAGCCACTTTACTAGCGATTCAGGGGGTTCATAATTTGATGCAAGATCCAGAAAGCAAAATCCTACCACGTCAATCTTAGGTCCCCAATCTGAAGGAGAAAAATAAGTGTTATCCTTGCATTTACGATATCCTTTCCATGTTAAGTCACTATACGGTTTATTATTTGATTTAAAGAAATATCCTCATGCTTTATTACATCAGCTGGCGAGAATGTGAATGAAATTACGCCAACCACCTTTTGGTTTAGGAACAAGATGAGGACTCCATATATATCCATGTGGCACATCAGAATCAGAGCCTTGGGAACCACTCAAATATGTGACTGGTCGTAGCTTCAGCCTTTTCTTTCTAACATCGTTTATCATGTCCCGTATCCCAAGCCAAATCATTGAGTCAACGATCTGATATGAAAGCTGCAAGCAAACACAAACAAACAAGATGAGAAAGTATAACAAAAACATACAAATGAAATATGAATAAATTTCACAGAGCTCACTCGATATCCAGCAGGTTGCTTCACATGGGACAAGGGATGTGGAAACTCACTTGTTGGCCTGGAGGAAACAATAATGGATTGTGCAAAGCAGTCTGAGAGTGCCCATTAAACCATGTAATAGAACAACAGACTGATACAAAACATGAATGACAAGCTTGTAAACTGCTAGCTTTTGAGATGTTAAAGCAACATCTAACTCAGCTATAGATAAACATTACCAAACAAGACTTACGTCCATGGCATTGTGAAAAATATATGGATTGGTACTTTTAGTGCTTCTGCCACATGGGTATGCCCTAAAAATAATTGCCAAAGTTTCTATCAGAATATTGATCCAGTAAATACAAACATGAATAAAATACTTCTATTCCAAAAACAACAAATGATTGTGAAAATAAGAGCAATGACATGACATTTTCCCACCAAACTTGTCTCTCAAATGAAGACAAAATAAAACAAATTCAGCACTGAAAGTTCTAACCATCCTTCATATTGTTAAAGCAATAAATATAAAAGGAAAACCCCGCCCTGAGCCCCTAGAGGACTACCATGAAGTTTGTTACGACATTAGGATATCTTTGGTCTACGGGATTTGGATGCAAATCATCATCCCTTATGCCTAAATTTATAGAAATGAAGTTTAAACAGGAACTTAATAATACAAAACTAGCAAATGCTACAAAATCTAGAGGTCATTTCGCAAGGCAGAATATTGACTTCTTATCCCATAATTGTCATTCCAACAAATACGAGAGGGCGGAGGTAAATAGATAAACATATACATGCAAAGTTTAGACTCAAGCAACAAGGCACAAAGGTTCTAGTCGGAACATATGTACATTCTAACCTTTTACAGTTTATGATTTCCGAATATGGATAAATGCTACATAAGCACTATCAATAATTCATGAAACACCAAAGCTATGCTTTAGCCCTTTGCAGCACCAGCATATTCTTTAAATGGCAATGTGAGGCACAGTTGTCAGAGAACAGGATGGCCTAATTAGGAATCCAATTAGTTGGCATTATGGCTATGATTTGGGGATATACTTTCACTACATCAAACTGTGATGTATAAGAAACTAAAGCAGAGTGCTAAAAAGAATAAATCTAATAAATTTTCTTTTACACCGCTGAAATTCCTTTATCCATACATGAGAAGTGAATGAGCAAAACCAAATATCCATAGTAAGTTGAACCTGGAAGCAGAACACCAAATCTCAACTCATGTATATTTCCATTAAACAGACTGATAAACGCATGCTTATCCATACAGCTGTATATATCAGACACATTAAAGCTTGAAAAGAAAAGAAAGGTAACCGTATGCAGGAGGATTTGCAATGATTGCATCTGCATTAAAAGGAATACCGGAATCAGGATCAGATTCTTTGCAAGCAGGAAGCAGAGAGTAGATAATGTCCTTCATTTGATTTCGCTGAATGGGTATCTCAGAAGGGTTTGATGGCAAAAAGCCTTTATTTTTAACCATATCTGCTCAGGGGAAAAGTCAAGTGAAAGGAAATTACTAAAAAGCTCTTCTGAAAATCGTAACTTTTGACAACTAACAACATTCAGTTCGAGTCGCATAGTACTTTAGGCATATTGGACAGTCCTTGGCTCAAACCTACATAATCTAAATGAAGATGTGTTATGGAAAATTTGAAATAAAAATGGTAGTGCCGCACATATGCATCAAAAATACATTGCAACTATGTCATTTAAATGCTATGCAAGGACCTAAGTTTTAATTACAAACAGGAACAAACTCAAATTAAACATATCAGAATCCCAGTAAGGTTACACCAGAAAATCATAAGATAACGAGTTAGGTATATACAACCCGCAAGAACTTTTGGATCTCCACCTAATGGATAGAACTCAAGCCCAGCAGTTAGTACAAACTCTTTGAAATTTGAATGAGTTGCCAATCTTACACGATGCCCATATTCCTGCATTCAGAACAGTAATTAGTTAGGGAAAGCAATGCTTTGATCTTGAACAACGGCAAACTACCTTAAATGATGATCACCCAAGTCCAATACTTTGGGAGTCTATAGACAATAAGCAAATTGCTCATAAAAGCACTACCTTCTATGAAGTAAATTGGATATTTCCTTTATCTACTTTACCTTTGTCAATGTGAGGAGCAAGAAGAATTCCCTAGCTTAATTTTCAATATAGGGAATCTGATTTTAATATTATTCACATATTTTTACAGAGTGAGGGGGAGAGAGAAGAGGAGGAAGAAGAATTCAGTCTTCAACTAATTCGTTTCAAAAGAAAATTGATCCATTTTTCTAAGTATAAGCATGCTACCAGAAAGCCCAGATGAAGTACAACAAAGTTGAAGAACTTAAATATAGTGAGAAGGTTATACATATTAACAAAATGGAAAGAGGCTCAAAACGTAAAACACCGTCCCAACCTGGAGGCGCTTGCCAATGGCAATAAATGGCTGCACATCTCCGATTGTTCCAACTATAAGCATCACTATTTGCAGCGGTGGAACATACTGAACATCTGTTTCAAGTGACTCTTCTTCAGCAACTTCAGAATGTGTCTCTTGGTCCACCATCAAGAACATGGGGCTCAACATCTGGCACTTCGAACTCCACAGTCCCATCATCTTTCACAGTAGCTATTCTGTTCAACAATTTAAGCTGCACGTATTTATGAAACTTAATAACATTACCACATACACAAGTCACAAAAGATCAAGCTTTCATGCCATCCAAAAAACCACCCATTATAAAGCTACACCAATTAGATAGAGCTTAACCTATTTCTGTATTTGAGCTAAATGCTATTCTAGCCTTGATAAAAGGCAAGAAAAAGAAAAGGGGACTTGTGAAAAAACTGTACAAATGTACTAAAAATGTAAGAGTATTCTCCAAGAAAGAATCGGTGAAGCATATCAATATATGCATAACAAAAAGGAAGAAAAAAATACTTATATAGGTACTATTAGCAATTCTACCATCTCCTATGGATTTTGTCTAGCTGTTACCCACTATCCCATCCAGTTCCATATATCTTCCTTAAGTCCATAATTTCAAACAATCAATGAGAATGCATTTTTCTCACTAAGATTTTAAAGTAAAAAATATTTGTATACATAGTATAAAAGAGATTAATTCTCTATCTAATAGTTTAATCCAAAAATCAAGTATATGACTTCGAAAATCAAAAATAAAATCTTACCTTAATAAGCTTGGTGTTTTCGGCCATGAGGAGGAAGATAGCTGCAAAAATATGCTTCATCTCTCGATAATTCTAGTATTTATTAATTAATTTACTTGACATTTAACTAATTAAATTGAATTTAAAATTCAATTCTTAAGAAATTTTATTTTTATCATTAATAAACCTTGATAATTACCAAATGTCATTGCATTATCCTTTATTAAAATATTTCTTAGTTAAAGATGAATCAATTTGTCTTTGAATTTCTACTTTAGCCATGCTATTTTCAAAAATTGTATTTTAGTCACTAATTTTTCACTATTCGATCAAATCTGATTTCAATATCAAACTTATCGCTTTATAGCTTTTAACACAAATCCTTTAAATTTTTGTAAAATTCCGGTTCGATCTAGTTATCCGATTCCAATACTGAACTGTCATTTACGGACTAAAATATATAATTTTTCAAAATTATATATTTAGTCCCTAAACTTTTCAAAATTTATACTTTAACCCTTAAACTTTTTAAATTTATATTTTAGTCATTAGTCAAAATTTGGGTATTACAGTTGGTCATCTTCGACTACCATCATCATCGCCCAATAACGATCAGTCACCCGTCGATACCCATCCAATGATCAATCATCGTCTTTATCATCACCTAAATTCCCTAAATCTAAAATCCTTAATATCCAAATCCCTAATTCTCAATTTCAATTTACTAACCCAAATCAACTATGAATGCAAACTCATTACAAACAATCAAACAAATGCCATTTTGCAAGGCCTCCAACAACACCATCAGCAAACAACTCTATAACAAACAAAATCTCTTTCTTCTCCCTTCTTTGTCATTCTTTACGAGAAAAAAGAGAGCGATATTTGTTGTAAAAGATAGAAAAAGAATACTAGTTTACAGAGGGAAGAAGAGTGGCGATGGAGAGGAAGAAAAACAGTTGGTGCGTGATGAGAGAGGGGGGAGGGTGGGAATTTAATTATTATTTTTTTAAATAATATATTTATTTGTAATAAAAATATTTTAATTTATTTTAATTTAAAATAAAATTTTAAAATTAACAGAACGTGACATGTGTTATTTAACAGAGATTTTTAACGGCGGTTAATATCCGAGCATTTAAAAGTATAATGTTGAAAACATTAAACACTTATTTTTAACGAAAAATTCTTTTTAAATACTAAAATATTTTTTGAGATATAATTTGGGTATTTATATTTATATTAAGTATATTATTTATACTACTAAAATTTTAATTATGACATACAATTTAATTTTATATTTAACTATATCACTCCATTACTAAATTATTCACGATCCAATAATATTAACAACAATGATGATGACTATGAGACTAACATATCTTCTAAAATTAAACACGGAGCCTAAAATACAGCAACATACAAATAAATTTTAGTGTCAAAGACTTGATAGTTAAAACCAGGGTGAATTACATCGTAATATTAAATTTAAAGATTTGTATCAATTATATCCTTAAATTTTAAAATACTTCAATTATGACATTAAACTTTAGTTTTAACTTCCATTATAACACTAAATCGATAACCCATTAATAGTATTATAACATGATTGTCTAATATTTACATGGTGTTGACATGTGCTGATGTAAAAGTTTAAAAAATATTGTTCCATCTCATTATCTTTATCAATGTTAGAATTTTCATCTATTTTTATCTGTCGTCATCAGAAATCATCACTTTTCAATATATTATGTAGTCACCATAAACACCAATAAACTTAGCTCGTATACTTTTAGCACTTTTGTTGTTTATATTTTCACAAAAACATTTTTAAAACTCACGAAATTAAAGAAAACAATTATTGTTTTTGGGATATGGAGACTTTCTTGAAACTTAGGAGTTTGAGGTATTTGTTTGAGAATTTAAATGGTGAGAAATATTCTCTCAATAAAGCTAACAACATATCTCAAACTAGTCTCATTGGATGGTAAGAGGAGGAAGTTAGAGTATTAGAATGTCAAACATTTAGATGAGTTTTCGTCATTTTTCACGAAAAACAAATGAGAAGAAAGATGAGTGAAATACAATTTTTTATATTGATTTTGTCACGAATGACAACAAATAATGGGAGACGATTGACCGATAACAACAATTAGAGTACTTTATGGTAATGATACACATACTAAATTTTATTGCCTAAAAGTGAAATATTTTAAAGTTTAATGATGAAATTAAAACACAAAGTAAATTTCAAGAGAAAGAAAATGACCATGTAATCAACATTTTAACAGTTCACTCGCTACATTAAAACCAAAATCAAAGTATTACAATTAAAATAATAGAAAGTTTAGTGGTAAAATTGATTAAAAAATCCTGATATTCAATAGTATATGGTATAATTTATTTTGAAAATTATTAAAAAAAAAATATTTTTATATTTATATAAATTTGATCTCGAATAAATTTATTAGGTTCAAAATGGCTACATTTTTCTTCATTGTTTCTATTTTTTTAAGATTTTCTTAAAAAATATTAAATGTTTATTTATTCTTAAAATTAATAAACATTTAATTTATTGAGTTTATCCCTTAAATATTTACTAAAATATCACCCTTTTGTACAACGTAGTGATAAGGCTCATTTTATAGGACGCACTTTGCCTACATGTCAATCCCACTAAGCAAAGACACATTCTATAGGGCACGCTTTATGGTGATCTAACCTACCACCTGGGAAACGCTTCTTGTGGAACATGTTTTATGCTGACATGATAAAGGCGCTTAATAAAAACCATGCCTTGTTGGATTTTTCCCGTCTCCTTATTTCTCACCCATGTTCTCCGCTTTTCCATCTCCCTTCCCGGCCTTTCCTCTCCCCAACCCTCTATATAAACCCCCTCCCCTCTTTCAAATCACACTAAACAAAAATCATATCATATATTTTCTCTTCTTTCTAATTTATTTTTGCTAGGGTCACAACGTCCGATTTAAAGTTCAAGGTATAAGTAATTTTTTATTCTTTTAATAAATGTATTTAATTTTTTTACTTAATTTTAGTTACTAATTGTTTAAATGTGTGCAGTTAAAAAATAAAAGGCATACTACGATTGGATGAAAGCCATATTTTGTCTCATACAACGAATATGGTACAAATATTTAATTATGTTTATTCATTTTTTTAATATTTTATTAAATATTTCAAATCTTAATATATTAAATTTTTATGAATTAGGAAAATGATCGTATATTAGAAATTTTTATCCACAACACTAAGATGCCCACATCGGCTCGTATTTGGAGATATTTAAGTGATGTTGAATTTGGGTACGTATCGCAAATAATTGAAGGTTGTAAACTTCAACCAATCCTCATTTCTACACTAATCGAGGGGTTGTGACCAAAGACACACACATTTCATCTTCTATGGGGAGAGTGCACTATTATTCTGGAGGATGTTTCAATGCAGTCGAGCCTTCTGGTAGATAGGCATGTTCTTACTAGTGTGGCGGTGGATAATTGGTATGATTTGTGCATGGAGTATCTAAGAAAGTCCTCTAATTTGTTTAACGGTGAAGAATCTCGTTGATGTGGCTTTAAGACAACTTTCGAGAGTTTGAAGAAAATTATTCTAATAAGGAGTAAAAAGTATTTACCCGAACATATATTTTACAACTCATAGAAGGGATCTTGATGCTCGACAAATATTGTAACCAAATGCATGTTATGTGATTGTGTCACCTCGTTACTTTTAAATAAGTGAGCACGCTCACTTATTTCATTATTCTCTAATCTTGGACGTGGCATCACATGCCTTTTTATGTCTGATTGTAAGAAAGTCATATGTCTTCCCTTTCTTATTAAGAAAATTTTAATAATTAATTTATTTATAAATTACTTTTACTATACACTTAATTAAAATATTTTTTTATATTAAATAGATGGTAATCAATAAAAAATCATTGTGAGATTCCTGATGAATTACGAGATATCATATTGTTAATCAAGCAAAAATCAGGTTCAAATGTATGTTTTTAATTTTTAATTTTTTTATTTCATTATTGTTATAATTAGAATCACATTCAAAATTTGATAGTAAATATATTTTTTTCAGTTCCAATAGATGCCTTATATGAATGAAGAAATGAGGACTTGTATCCCACCTGACTTGATTGGTCAATTGGACATATGACATACGGTTGTGCCTCTTATATGTTATGCTACTATCAAGTGGCATCCAAGTGACCATGTGCTTCGTCAGTTTAGTTTCTCACAATTTATTTCGGAAGTACCCGAGAATCTCGACAATATGCATAAACTTACCATACAAGATAAGCATAGTGTTGATTGGAGGGAGAAACAAACCAGTGATGTGGGAGAACCTGTATGAACACTTTCTCATTCGTTATTATATTTCGAAAACTAATTTCACAGTTTCGCACAAATATATTTTATGAGGATGTACAAGGCGAGTCTATTTATCATCGTCGGGAAAAACGTTCATCAAAACAATATCATCATCCCTTGACTAATCGTGAACAAAGAGCACACACTTCTAGCCCATCTTCAACATCACCACCAGAAACACCACAACATCCACCATCCGGACCAATTTTGATGTTGAGCCCTCTGGTTTACATGTCGAGCCCTTAAGGTTATATTTTGAGCCCTTTAATTTACATGTAGAGCCCCCTGGAGGATATGAAACTGACATTTGCTTAATATGCATCATATCTGACGGGTAGTGCTCATTCACAAACACCAACACCGTATGCAGCCTAGTCACCGATGTCATTTTTTCATAATTTTTGTAGTTCTCAGTAAGCGGTAGGATTGTTGATCATACACCTCCACATTCGTTATTCCATGGAGATCTTTCTTCGACATCGGCTCAAACACAACAAGATGAAGTTGATGTTAATGAAGATGATTAGACTGAAGAGAAAGAGCAACATAGACGAAGAAATCCTGCTCGAAATAGAAAACCATCGCCTTATGGAACACATTCACGAATATCATTAGTTTTTATGCTATGTTTTTTAATTGAATATTATATTTTTTATATTTATTTTTTTATGTTTAATTTTATATTTTTTAATTGAATATTATATCTTAAATCTTAATGTTATATTTTTTTAATTAAATATTAAGTTTTTATGTTTAATGTTTTTTAATGTTAAATCTTTATTTAAATAATTTATTTTCTATGTTTTTTAAAATTATTATTTTTTTAATATAAAATGTAAAGGCCCGTTCTGTAGAACGCACATTCTTATTGGACTGCCACATCAATATAAGGGACTTCCTGTAGAACGCGTATTTGTTGAGTCGGATACCATGCATGTAAAGTACATCTTACAAAACGCACCTTATTGCACGTTGTACGAAAATATGATATTTCGGTAAATATTAAAAAAACATGATATTTCAATAATTTTATTTTTTTTAAATGGTGCAATAGAAATAAAAAAATCATTATTACAGTTTAATGTCTGGAGTTGTCACCTCAAAATTCAAATTCAACAATGCCAACGAATTGGAGGAATAACTTTTAATGTAGTCGCAGAATACAGTTAAAAATTGTAAAAAATAGTAATAATAGAAAATAAACAGTTCCAAATTCAAAGTTGAAAAGGAAAGCCAACTATCGGAGCTCAACTGACTCCACGCTGAAAAATCGTACGATTAAAACATAGAAACAGAAAATTAGTATCTTATTGATCTGTTTAATGATATTTTTGTTATTTGAATGGCGATCGTCTCTGGATGCTGCTTAATTCATGGCAATGCTAGCTCTTACATGCCCCAAATTGTAACTTGCTCTCTCCTCCATTCCCACTTTCTTCTCTTTTTTAAATTCCTTTTTCCTCTGCTCTCCGTCCATTTTCATTTTGTCTCTCTCCATCGATTCAAAATATACAAATTCAATATCGTTGATAATTTTCAGCTCGGGGATTTTACAAACCAGATTAGTTACCAGGTATCGCTCTTTTTCTTTTAAGATTAACGTATGGCATTTATGTTAAAGATTTTTTTTATCGATATGTTGTCGAATTTTGTTTGAAAATGTTGCTGATTATGTATTCTTTGCCTTTTAGGCTTGTCGTTCATTATCCTGAGCGACGACCTTGAAATATTATCATATGTTTTTCCTTTGGATCAGTGGTCTGGAATTTGTAGAAGAGGAAGGCATTTTTGTTAGGATTAGATTTCTAGCTAAAATTTGGCCTTGAGTTAAAGCCGATATATTGTGAAATCAAAATGATATGCAAACTGGTTGAGTTCTTTCTGTCATGTATATATATGCGTTGAATTTGATTGAGAAATTGGGTTGCTAGTAGAATACAGATGTTGGTAACTTTTGAAAGTGCATATGCTGTTGTTGTTGTTGCTATTGATTTGATGTCTATTGTTTTATGTGTGGGGGGAATCCGAGATTTTGACTGTGAGATTGAAAGCTAGTTGATACGAGAATGGCTTAATTATCAATAATTGTTTGGTGGATAGAAAAGGAAAAGAGTGGTTCACGGACCCAACACATTGTTTTTATGCAAGTAAACAGACATAAGAACTTGTTTAGGTAACATGGTCAGGGGAACGTCTGGCCTATCTGATCAATTGTTTCAGCAAGGATCTACATATGCTGTTCCTAATAAGGGAATGAATGTAAATAACAGCGATAATAATAATAATATATCTGTACGGACAGGTGACGAGTTCTCCATGGAGTTACTTCAGGAGTGTGTTGGCAAAAGAGCCATTCCTACCAGACCAAATGCGGCACTGGCACATAAGAAGAGAGCTTTGTTCAATCAGAACCAGAACCACCAGCTGGGGTATCACGATCATCATTCCCGAATTCTTGTGTTGAAAGGAATGGACTCCAAGTGTGCTTCTGACATTTCTGATTTTGCATCTGTGAATGGTTCTTTTAGAGGGGGTGAAAATGGGTCTTGTGCTGGAAAGATAAGTAGATACCAGAAGGAAGAAGGTGAAATTCGACGAATAACAAGGAAGGCCTTTGGTGAATTGAATTGCGATAGAAGCCATCCAAATGGTTCTGAATCACCTACTACACCCATTTATACATGCCACTCTCCTAGTTCCAACCACTTTAATGTGCAGGGATCTACTGATGTAACTCAATCTGGGAAAATAAAATTACTGTGCAGCTTTGGTGGAAAAATATTGCCAAGGCCAATTGATGGTAAACTCAGATATGTTGGGGGAGTGACGCGCATTATTTCCATTCAGGATTGTCTTTCTTGGGAAGAGCTTGTGAGGAGAACTTCATATATTTGTAACCAACCTCATTCAATCAAGTATCAACTTCCAAATGAGGAACTTGATGCCCTTATATCTATTTCTTCTGATGAAGACCTTCAGAATATGATAGAGGAATACCATGGGCTTGGAAAGTTAGATTCTCAAAGGCTGAGGATATTTTTGATTCCTAATGATGAGTCTGGAAGTGCATCTTCCCTTGATTCTATCACCAATCAGCAAAGCAATCCTAATTACCAATATATGGTTGCTGTCAATGGCACAGTAGATCCTAGTCATAGGAAAATCTCCCGTCGGCGATGTCTACCCAATGAAGGAAGTCAACCAGGACCCAATCTGGACTCTAACCCTACTTTCCACAAATATTGTCCAACTTCAGTAATCCCTAATAGAATTATGAGATATAACAACAAATTGTCTAATGCAGACTGCAACCAAACTTCGGGTTTTGCTATTGGTACTCACAAAAAAAATTTGCAAGTCGCTCGGAAGTTGGTTCCTTCATCCTTGGCTACTAAGAGTAACATAGAGCATCCACAGACCTCGGACAAAGTCACATCTGATATAGCCGAATGTTTTGGTTTCAGTGGGAAAGTGATTCGAAGAGGAGATATATCTAAAGAAGATATGCTTATGGGATCAACCAAGTTGCCTTTACCTGTAGTTCATGTTGATTCTCTTCTGTGTTCAAACTTGCTCAGTGAAGACCTTCGTGCTATGCCAGCGATTCCAGGCAATACTGTAACTATGAGAGAGGTTCCTCTTACCAATCTGAATGATGAGAAGGTGGTCCTCCAAGGATATGTTCACAAGAATTCAATTGTAGAAGGTGTCATTGCAGATTCTGAGGCCGAGGTAAGATTTGTCAAAATTTCCCATGAAAATCTAATTTTGTAACTTTTACTTATGCTAGTAAACTCAAGTAGGTTCATGGATTTGTTCATAGGTTTCTACAGCTGATGGTCGAGTCAGGGATGAGTCCTTCAAAAATGCTGTCAAAGCTGAAATCGAAGCCAACATCTATGGCTTGCAGGTTCGGTGTAAAATTTGTGCCTGTTTTCAGTAAAATAAATCAATATATGACCAGTTCATCATTGTTGTTTAGTTAAAAGTGTGGTAAAATTTTGAAACAAAAGTACGAGTTTTCCTCCGGCTGTGAGGTAGAAAACATTTTTATTGTTTTTTTTTTTCCCGAATAAGGTTCCATTTAGTTAATATACATTGAAATCCCCGAGTTGGTATAAAGAGGCAATTGAAACACAATTGGGGAATCAAAAAAAGAATATGACAAATGTAATGATCATTAAAAATCTAGGATATGGTAGTCTTTTTCTTTTCTTTTCTTTTTTGGAAAAAAAGATTTAAAAGCAATTCTTTCTCAAACTGGTATCCGTGCCTACTTATTTCTATTTTTTTTTGAATAACCTACTTATTTCTATTTCAAAACTGCATGTTACTTTCCTTACTATTTCTCTATTTTATATTTAAGTATGCTGTGGTTTGTCAACATTTATTCAAACAGTAAATATTTGTAAATCACCCATGATTTTGAGTTAGTCTATTTGTAATTATCTTTAAAATTATCCCTCACAACTGTCTTTTGTCCCTCTAAAAATTTTCAATATGGTTATTAGACTGATGGCTAATTGATAGAAGATTTGATTCTATGTCAACTTCTGGTCATATTTCCCTTGAAACCAAATACTCTTGACTATTATCAATCCTGATTAGCCCTCTCCTCCTTGAATAATTAGCTTTTTAACATGTATTAAGGTTTTCTTATCTTAATGTGAAGGTTATTAAAAATGCCGATCTTGAAGAACTGAGGGTGCTCGGATCTGGTACATTTGGATCTGTTTATCATGGAAAATGGCGGGGAACAGATGTTGCTATAAAGAGAATAAAAGGGAGTTGCTTTTCTGAGAAATCATCAGTGCAAGACAGGAAGGTAGGTTTGCAGAGATTTTTCCCTCTTTTCTCACCCTTTCTTTTTAGTGTCTAATCCTAAATATAGTTTGCTGGCTAGGTGGTTTGAACTCTGCACTACATTCCAAAAACAAATAAGGAAAGTGTATAAAATATTATTATTATTATTATGTTATAGAAATTTCAGTTATTTGCATCCCTAAAGCTGATGGATATTTGGTTGTGACAGACCAAAAACTTTTGGAGAGAAGCACAGATCCTCTCAAATCTGCATCATCCAAATGTGGTTGCATTTTATGGAGTAGTACCAGATGGAACTAGAGGAACTCTGGCGACTGTAACTGAGTATATGGTCAATGGATCGCTTAGGAATGTCCTAATCAAGAAGGACAGGTAACCTAGGTTCAACCTCTCAATAGTCAATGTTATATTCCTTCCCTCATTAATGAAGCACTTACTGGTTGTTTGGAATTCTTACGCAGATCCCTTGATTGTCGCAAAAAGATTATAATTGCCATGGATGCAGCTTTTGGCATGGAATACTTGCACTCCAGAAACATTGTTCATTTTGATTTGAAATGTGACAATTTGCTTGTCAATCTAAAAGATCCCCAACGACCCATATGCAAGGTAATAGTTAGGGACAAACTCCTCTCTGGTACCTAATGTTATTACATGAGACCATAAATAGTCAGAGAGAAGATTAATATTAGTTCTGGTTAAAGCCAAATTGATTGTTTTGGTTGAAGATGAATGCCTATACGCTTGGATACAATAGTGTACCCCTAAGACCTTTATGTTCCCCTCATAACTATTCTATATGATGTAATTTCTTTCACTAGGAAGGTTTTCATTGACATTTCACTTGAATCATGGGCCTTCTATGTATTGTTCCTGCAGGTTGCAGATTTTGGATTATCAAGAGTCAAGCGCAATACTCTTGTTTCCGGAGGTGTGCGAGGAACCCTCCCATGGATGGCACCAGAATTATTAAATGGCAACAGCACCCATGTTTCTGAGAAGGTCAGTATGTCTTGCCACCATGAAGGAAAGAACGAATATTTTTGTTAAAACCGGAATTTCTAATATTTGGTTTGGCAGGTTGATGTGTTCTCATTTGGAATTTTAATGTGGGAAATCTTGACCGAGGAGGAGCCGTATGCCAATATGCACTGTGGTGCCATTATAGGTACGCTTTTGGTTTACCTAATTTGCCATTAGCTCTGATTTTGAAATGGAGTTTAGTAGGATGCTATGGCATGATATTAGATCCACTATGGAATGCATATTTAGCTCAAATGCTGTATTGCCTTTTTGCTACATGTATCTGAAAACCAAACAAAAAGCTTCTGCTTTTCACTTAAAATTGGGCCATCGTTCAATTTGTCAAATGTGATTGCAGGGGGGATGGTGAAGAACGCTCTTCGACCTCCGATTCCGGAACATTGCGATCCCAATTGGAGGGAGCTGATGGAACAATGCTGGTCACATGATCCCAAATTTAGACCATCATTCACCGAGATAGCGAACAGGCTGCAATCCATGTCTAAGCTCCTTTCAGCTCCAGGGATCTAGACAAACAAAAGCCTAATGGTATGGCATGACATTGTTAAATTCCGAGCACCAGTTTCAATTGTATGCACACCTCTAAACTTCGGTAACTGCAACCCAACTGTTCGAGGATGAGGATCAAATCAAGGAGGATAAGCATGAGCAGAGAACGTTTTTCCCATTCTCTCTCATCTATGTTAATATATAGCTTCATTTGTTTGTTATTTTCTTTAACAGAGTAATTTAGGTCATACATTTCAACTATTTTGAAGATTTTGTTGAATGTAGATACACCCATCCAAGAAAAGGGAAAAAAAGAGCAATTTGAGTAGAATTGCTTTACTGTATCTGGGCCTCGTAATTTTACATTTTACGACACCATAATAAAATATATTTGGGTGGCTAAAAAATGTATTTGATTAGAATTGCTTTAATATAGCTATACATTTTACGACAACACATTAAAAAAATAGAATATTTTTAAGTTGAAAATAATTATTTCTCGTAAAAAATTTGAAGTGTAATTATAATATTTAAAGTTCATCATAATTTCCATCTTTGAATTAAAGTTAATTATATATAGTTTTAAAAAATTATTATATAACGATGTAAATAGAGTTAATTTAATCAACTAATTCTAGGCTGAGCAACTAAACCGAGAAAATCGAAAAATCGACACAAATAGAGTAAAATGGTTCGGTTCGGGTTTACCTTTAAACGATTCGGTTTCGGGTTATTTAAATGATCAATTCTATTGATTCGGTTTGGTTCGGGTTTTCCATATGGAACCCACTTGTTCATATTGAACCGAATAGACAATTTTTTTGTGAATTTATAGTTTTAAGTGAATTTTTCATTGAAAAACCGACAAACCGAACCGAACATAACTGAAAAAATCGGTTTCACATAATTCAATTTTTTAACCATTCGATTTCGGTTTAAAATTTAAAAAATCCATTTATTTCGGTTCAATTTAATTTTTAATAAAAAATCGAACTAAACTGAAGACACTCTAACTAATTCCCATAACAATAAATTGGGCGATGGCTACAGCGTCATTCATTTTCTTTATTAGATGACAATTGTATTTGAAAGAGAAGGTGGTTGAGTTTTTATCCTCGGGACGGGTGTTTTCTGTTGGGTTAGGGCAACATGGTGTATTTTTCTAGGTGCTAAAAGGTGAAATTCACTCAATTTTGTTTTCTTGGTGATATGTTAGTGTTTGTTAAGATAAAGTTAATATAATTAAAAGGGTTTGTACACTGTTGGAAGTGTTTCATAAGATATCGAAATGAATCCATTTAAAACCAAATTTTTTTAATATTGGAGTTTCTTCTTCTTCTTGTTTTGTTGATATTATCACAATTACGTAAATTAAGCTTAGAGTATTGTCAGGTGAGATGTTTGGGAACTGTCCTTAACTTATAGGATCATTAACAGCTCAGATCGTAATGTCCTTATTGAAAGAATTACCATTAGAATACGGAGGTGGGTAGCTAGAGGGCTATTCTTTAGGCGTTTTTAAGATCGTAATGTCCTTATTGAAAGAATTATCAATAGGATACGGAGGTGAGTAGCTAGAGGGCTATTCTTTAGGTATTTTTACTTAAAGAGCACTCAAATAATTAATAATTATCTGTCAGATATTCATTAATAAAATTTTATTGATCTAATATCTATTTATTGACATAGACGATGGAAGACACAAATCACCAAACATGTCTACTCTAGTTTTCATCAAATCTGATATCATACAAATAAAACACGAATCACCATTCAATTGAAAAAACGTGGGAGATATTTTCGTGGAACATTACAAAAAAAAAAAAAAAAGACAATTCCATATTCTACCCATGGGTTGTTGGATGTAATGCATTTTTACTAAAAGAAGAAGTTTGACTAGACTTTCCCAGTCAATTCAATATCTCAGCCATCGACATCCGGCCCATGCTTCACAAATCTAAGGATATGTATGGTTCAGTTTCGCCAAAAAAAAAATTATCCATTCCAATTAAATTTCAGTATTTTATTTTTTCTAATATTTTTTTATCCATGTTTAAAGAATTTTTATTTGTTTTAATTTTCAAGATTAAAATTTGATATGACTCAATATAAATATATTCATTTTTATTAAGTAAAATAGTAATATAATTAAAGATACATATAGAGATTTCATTATAGTTATACTTAAATATAAGAGATATTTATAATATTATTCTGGGTTAAACCAAGTTAAGATTTTTCATCTTAAATCTAAATTTGACATGGCCTTATTCTTAAAAAATAGACTTAACTTAATCGGATTTTTAAAATAATAAAATTTAATCTTATATGATCAAAATTCATTAAATTTGGATCACATTAATATTCTTGGTCACATCTTTCATTTTCTTAGATGATAATTATATTTTGGAGCATTGTCTAATCAAGTAATCATAACAAAATCAAATAAAATCGAAACACTAATTTTGAATATATAATAAGAACATGTATTTAGTATTTTAAATATTTATTTATTTAATTTATATATATTATTATTATGAAGTTAAGTCTTATAATATAATTTACTTTATTTATAACGTTACCAACTACCAAAGCAAAAACAGTAGTAGAAAAGGAAAGAAAAAAAAAAAAAACGCCCTCCGTTCCCACTCTCCAACAAGAAAAACGTGGGAGTAATTTTCGCGGAAAATTCCAAACATGTGGAGTAATTTAACAATAAGAAAAGGAGGAAGATAAACTTGATCCACTCATTTGTTGTTAGAAGTATGCATTTGTTAATAATAATAAAATAAAGCTTGCTATTTGTAAAAGCTAGAAAGCTACGGCCACCGCTGACCGAACAGCTTGACTAGACTAGACTTCCCAAGTCTTTGAAAGAGACGTGTGTGGAGCAGTGTAGGTATTAAGTATAAACCCTGTTAGGGTGGAGAGGAAACAAGAGCAAGATCAGAGAGAACTAGTGTCACAGATTGATATGGAGAAAGCACTCAACAGGCAGAAAGTTTTGCTTCATCATTTACGACCCTCTTCTTCTCATCAATCTGCTGCTACTCTCTCTGTAAGCTTCGTTCTTGGTATTTAGATTTTGTTATTTTTTAATTCTTTCTCTTCTCTTTTTGAAATAATGGCTTTGCCTTTAATTTTATCAGCCATCAAATTGTGCGGCTGGGGATGCCGCTGCTTATCACCGGATGGCTGCTTTCGGAGATGATGTTGTGATTGTGGCGTAAGTTGTTTTACAATTTTTTTGTTTTCCCTTGGTCTACTTTTTTGAAATCTTTTGTAAAAATGTTTGTCACTACTTGAATAAAAAAAATGCATTAAGTGTATAGAGTGGATCTTTCAATTAGCTAGCTCGGGTTGGTTGAGTCCAATCAGTTTAGATCGGGTCAGTTTTAGTTAAAAATTTCTGGGTTAATTTGTTCAGGTCATTTTAGGCTTGTTTTAATTTCGAGCTTGGGTCATTTTAGATTCAACTTTTATGGGTTGGAGACTGAATTTTTTGAGCTGAGTCAATACGGATTCGAATCTTTTCAAGTTTCGATCACCTTAGGTACATGTCATGTGGGGTCATTTTGAGTTTAATTGTTTTGGTTTTGAGTTGTTTAGGGATGGGTTGAGTACTTGAGTTTTAGATTTGGTTCATAATCGACCCGTCTAGCAAAGAGTTAAAGTATAGATGGTATCAACAAGTAGTTGGATGAGGTGATAGTGGTCTCATTCCTTGTAAGGGTGAGAGCACAAGTTCTAAGTCCAGGTAGTGTATATGTTGGTGGGTTTTTCCTTAGAACCCTCTATGTGAAGGAATAGTCTCCATTCCAATATGGCTTGGGGATACCCTGTTTTTACACCCAAAAAAGGAACGATTTTCTTCTGTTAATGTTGCATCAAAGAGCAGTAAAATCGTTGTTGTACAGGGCATGCCGCACTGCAATATGCAAGGCAAAACGTGGAGGCTTCAAGGATACACTTGCAGATGATTTACTTGCCTCTGTTTTGAAGGTTAGATGTTGCTTTTGGTTTTTTGTATTGAATTTCTTTGACATCAAATTTCTTTCTCCTCCTATCTTGTGTTAATTCTCAATGCAGGCTTTGATAGATAGAACTAAGCTGAACCCAAGTGAAGTTTCTGATATAGTTGTCGGTACAGTTTTGGCACCTGGCTCGCAAAGAGGAATCGAGTGTAGGATGGCGGCATACTATGCTGGTTTCCCTGGTACGTCTATTCTTTCAAATTCCTTTCCCTTGGACCCCTTTTGCTTTGTTGAAATTTTAGAGTTTCAACTGTTTGTTGCATTGAAAATTATTGAATTCCCATTTCATATTTTTATTGGTATTGGCGTGCTAGATTTGGAGTCATTACCAAATCCTTTTACTATGTTGATAGCAGAGATATAAATTGAAAGACATAAATTGACTTGTAAGTTACCTTTTCTACAACATTTTGCTAATACAATTACCTACGTCAACCAGATACGGTGCCTATTAGAACTGTCAACAGGCAGTGTTCATCTGGCCTACAAGCGGTTGCCGATGTTGCTGCTTTTATAAAAGCAGGATATTATGATATTGGTGAGGATATTCACTCTCATCTATGTGTGTATACAAATATGTGTATATATATGTGTGTGAACGCTGAGGCAGATATATTCGAATATTTGAGTGACCTTCATGCTGGTTTATCTTGGTCTTCAATTAAGGCATTGGTGCTGGATTGGAGAGCATGACAATTGATAAAGTGGTTCCTGGAGTTCCCAAAGTTAACCCAAAGGTACCATGAACATAAAGTTAGTATTTTACTAGTTAGGACCTTTTTTTACATCAACTTGTTATCATCCAACTGCATTATTTTTTACAGACAGAGGCCTTTGTCCGAGCCAGGGATTGCCTTCTTCCTATGGGCATTACTTCTGAAAATGTCGCAGAGCGCTATGGTGTGACACGGCAAGAGCAAGATGAGGCTGCTGTAAGTCCTGTTTATTTTTATTTCAATTTACTTTTATCTACCAATATAAGCTTAATCGTTGTCAGTCTGAAACACCTTCAACTTGTAAACATAGGTTGAATCTCATAGGCGTGCTGCTGCCGCAACAGCCAGTGGCAAATTCAAAGATGAAATTGTCCCTGTATTTACTGAGGTAAGTTTTTGCAGTAAATTATTGTGGTTTATGTTTTTATGTTCTTTCATTAACTTTTAATCTGCAAAGGTTATGGATCCCAAAACTGGAGAAGAGAAGCCAGCTACAATTTCGGTGGACGATGGAATCCGCCCGAACACAAACATGGGAGATCTAGCAAAGTTGAAGCCCGCATTTAAAAAGAATGGGTCCACAACTGCTGGTATATAATAATGAAAACTGTGAAAATTTTCCCCCCGTCAAGAACAATATGCAGTTTGAATGAAAATTGTTACTATTTTATTTCTTAGGAAATGCAAGCCAAGTAAGTGATGGTGCAGGAGCAGTCCTCCTTATGAAGAGAAGCTTGGCTATGCAGAAAGGACTTCCAATACTTGGTGTTTTCAGGTAATGAAAACTGCTTATAGAGTTTCTAAGCACCATAATAGTGCATCTGTAATCCCCTCACTGCTTTCTTGTGCACCCTCTTCTAGAAGTTTTGCTGCTGTTGGTGTGGATCCTGCTGTGATGGGCATTGGCCCTGCTGTTGCTATACCAGCTGCAGTCAAGTCTGCGGGTCTTGAGGTTGATGATATAGACCTGTTTGAGATCAATGAGGTTAATGGGTTTCTTTGGTTGATTTTATTCTGAAGGTGAATCTGATTTGAGTAATTTAGTTTTACTGTTTGCTTATCATGCAAAATGTATTTTTTCCTCAGGCATTTGCATCTCAGTATGTATACTCTTGCAAGAAGTTGGGGCTAGATCGTGAAAAAGTCAACGTTAATGGAGGTGCAATAGCCCTTGGGCATCCTTTGGGTGCTACAGGTGCTAATCTGACATAAATTTGACAATTTGCGATATATAAGAACAATTGCTTGGGTTATCCACCCTTCTTGCTGCATGGAAGTGAACATATATTACTGTATAAACAATATACCTGTTCTAAGTTCTAACTTTACGGGAGGCTAAGCATAGCCATGATGGATATCTCCTATTAACTAAGACATCGTTTTGTTTATCAGGTGCTCGCTGTGTTGGAACATTATTGTACGAGATGAAGCGTCGTGGGAAGGACTGTCGCTTTGGAGTGATCTCAATGTGCATAGGTATCTCTCTTCCCACACAATATGAAAAACCAAAGAACACCTTAATTGAATCGAAATGGTAACCCTGGTTCATTTGCTTTGTGTATAAATTTCTTGTCATTGCAGGCAGTGGAATGGGGGCTGCTGCTGTTCTCGAAAGAGGGGACTGCGTTGATGAACTCTGCAATTCTCGAGCTGTCAAAAGTATCGGGCTTCTTTCCAAGGATGCTCAATAGATATGTGTTTGTTGGTATCTTAAATGTTTGCTTTAGCATTCAATAAAACTTTGCATATTCCCAAGCAAGGAGTCAAATAATGAAGCCCATTTCAAGATTCTTGGAATGGCTTTATTCTAATGTACTTGTTCGTGTGGCCTATTAGCCAGAGATGATTCTGAAGAATGCATAAGATAGTGTAGAATATGTAGAATCAATCGATGAATATCCATTTGGAAACAATGTAAAAGAATAACAAATCCATCCCAACCCAAAACAATCTTTTTGTCTACATAGATTGCTACTTCTTAAATGCAACGAGGAGAATTTTTCAGTTATCAAAATGATGTGCTGAAAAGCATGAACTCCAACTGAAGGCATCAATTTTGTGAAGAAATCACACAAACTTACAAGCCATCCAAGTTTGTTACCATCAAAGTTTATAAACATTGAAGCAAAAGACGAGAACAACACTTGGGTTCCGGGATCACTCGGCCAAACAAAAACCATATGAACTATGCTTCAGACTTGAACTTTGATAGAACTTAGAAGTGAATACAAATGGCAAAGAAGGCTACTCAAAATGGCTAACACCCATACCAACTTGATCTCCTCCCCATAACTTCCCTAACCCCAATCTAATATTTATTAAAAAATGAAGCCACAAAAAATAACATGTATTTGGAACAATGTGGGGACATTAAAATGTATATAAAATTAACCCCTAAAACTTGTGAAACCTTCAACTAAAAGAGATAAAGTTCAAATAATGTCAGTATATAATGTTTATTTAAAGTTAAATTACTACAACAGATCATATTAAACGTGAGATGAATTTAACAAAAATATAATTATATAATTTTTTTTAGTTGAATTAATTATTAGAAAAATGGTATAAATTAATGAAAGTATTAAAATTTATATAAAATAAACTAATAATATTAAATCATATATTCTAAGGATAATTAAAAATATGTACTCAAATTATACCATATATTTATTTTAGGTGTCTAAATTTTTTTATACTCGAATTAATTATCTAACATGTTCAAAGTTACTATTTTAGAGTCAATTCCAACACGAAAGTTAAAGAAAATACAGCAACCAATCAAAATATGACACATGTTGTGTTTATAATTTTTTAAACATTTAAAAAAATGGTTAAATTAGAAAATAAAATTACTATAAAATCCCCCAAGAAATCTTAAAATGCATAATATCAAAGGCCATTGCACCATTGTCATCGTTAAATGTTTACCCACCCACCATTAGACCCATATTTTTTTTATTGTTGTTTCAATCCCCAAATCTCTAAATTTAAATTCATAAACACCAAATTCCTGAATTTCCAATACACAAACTCATTTATCGTCGATCAACCTCGTTGTTGTCGAATACTCATCCACTCATCGTCGAACCCCACTATTAACCATTTTCTTATCGTCACTCCAATCCCTAAATCTCAAATGCATAATGTAAAATTCATTATCGTTACACTCTAAGGCTACTGTGTAACACCCTCAATTTTAGGGACCAAATCGTAAAACTTTAAACCTTGGGGTCAATTTTTAAAGCTTCTGGAAGTTCAGTGACTTAGCTCCAGATTTAACCCTTCTTTGTTTGTAAAGAATAATAATAATAATAATAAATAATAAAAATAATAAAGTGTATGAGGTTATGATCGAACCTTTGACCTACTAAACCATCACTTTAATCCTTAACCATGTAAGAAAGACTACTATAACTAATGGAATTAAGTAAAAATATGTTTTATTTCTTTAGTTTGGGATTTTAAATCCCTAAAATTTAAAACAAAATCCCCAAATCGTAAAAACCTTCAAGCTCTCACCAACCCCAATCGTTGCCCCATCCGTTTACCGATCTCTGGCCGACGGTGGTGTGCACTGCCACCACCACCTTGTTCCCTGTCGTACACCCCGTTCAAAAGTTCTCTGTCAATTTTTCGATAACCGCCATCGATCGTCGTGAAAGGCCCCGGAAAAGTTTCGTTGAAACCTAAGAACCCTTGTTTCTGTTTCTGCTCGATTTCGACCACCATAGGTGACGTAGGCTAAGTTTTCACCATCAATCGACTCATCATCCCACGCCGAGCAAAACCTGATCGACCTCTCTCTGTCTAAGCCTGTCATTCATCGCAAATCCGATAACAAAGCCTCGATGGAGAACTAAACCCACCGTCGTTGTTTTTCGCGTTTTCACGTTGATCTTATCGTCGGTTGGCCTCACCGCCATCGTCATCGGGCTCCCCACTCTGTTTCGACCATAACCCAATCGGTATCGTCCCCTCCGTTGTATCCTCCGCCGTTTGCCGTTAAGGGTAAGAGTTTGTTCTTCGTTAATTTCTATCGATTTTGGTTGATTTATGGATTGATTCGAGTTGTTTTTGGCGAATGGTGTCGTTGGGAGGAATTGACCGCTGCACGCGCCGCCATGTGCCACCGCCGTGTGTGGGCGTTGTTTCTGTCGAGTCTTCTAGATGATTAAGTCAACTCGTCTGAGTCACCGAGTCAACTCGCTGAGTTGAACCGCCCGAACTTATTTTTTTAGCCAAGCCGAACCGTTTAAGCCTTTGAGCCGAACCGTTTAAGCTTCTAAGTTGAGTCGTTGACCGAGTCGTTGACCAGTTGACTTTGACATTAAATCGTTGACCGTTGACTTTGACAAAAAAAAACAACTTTTTCGAAAAAGTCATATTTTATGTTTTTCGACGTATTGAGTCTGAATCTGAAGTCTGTTTCATCAAATTCAAACCTTGTAAGTTGTTTTTCAGTGTTTTATCCTTCTATTCGAAAAGTGTTCCTGATTAAGTTCTATTTCTGACGTAAGTTCTTTTGCTATGTCACCGAGATGATGAGACGTGGAAATCAAGTGTGAGATCATTAGAATGTAATTTAAATGACCGACTATTGTTGCTTAAAATCTATGTAATAATTTACTACCTTATACACGCTTTACGATAAATGTTGGTAATTCACTGACACATTATTTATAATGTTTAGTCAACCCGATGAATATTATTAAATTCATATTGAATATGGTAAAATTTAAACATAGCCTCATTTGTTCATCCTCGTCGTTCACTCTTCACTTTCTCTGATTTTTTTAAAATTTAAATCTATGACCACTTTCACTGAAAAAAGTAATCAAACCTAGATCTAGAGGTTATCTCTCGGTAACTTCGAATCTTCGGCGACGCTCGAGTTTCCCGGGCAATGTTGAAGAAGATAAGTACGATCGTTCTTCTTCTTTTTTTGTTTTGTTTTTTTTTTTCATTTCTGATTCGAATCTAGATTCCCCTCCTTTTTGTTTGATTTTCTTTGCTACTTAAATAGTGAAGTTTGATTTGATAGAGGCTACGGAAGTAGGAAGGGTATGGTTGGGGTTATGACAGTGGGAAATTCGAGTTTCCTAGATTTTACGGGATTTGTTTTATTTATTTTTTCTTTTTTACCATACTTTTCACTGTTGATTTATTGATTTTTTGGTTTGATGAAACAGAGGATTCAGTCTGGTGACCGGTGGCGTGGAACTTCGACGGTGGCGGCGACAGTAGGGTTATGGTATGTTAGTTTTGAATCTGAGTTAGGGTTTGGTTAATGGGTCTGTTAGGCTTGGTTTAAGTAGGTAGATCAATTTTGTATGTGGGTTTGGGTCGACTTATTTAGACTCGGATAAAAATGGATTATTACAGATTTTACCGTTAAAAATAATTTTAAAAAGATAAAATATTCATTTTAAATATTATATTATATATTGAAAATATAAGATTTGAGAATAAATATATATTTTCATTTCAAAAGTATTTTTTATAGAAAAAAATTAGAAATTTATTTTTTTTAAGATTATATAACAAATAATTTTTTTCAACTATAATTTTAAATTAATTTATGTAAAAATCATTTGCACGATCTGGCACCTTTCAGTTCTAGATTAGTTCATAAGGAGTCATTCTTAACAAATATGAGACGACGCATCATCTTAGTTAAAATTAAAAATAAAATGAATCGAATATTAATTATTTAATATTAAATTGCACATTAGTACCTAAACTATCAATTTTAGTCTGTTTTAGTATCTAAATTTTTAATTTTTTAAAAACCATGCCTAACATTTAGTTTTAATTTCATTTTAGTACTCTGCCATTAGAAACTTAACACGTCTAGTACCTAAACTATCAGTTTTGGTTCATTTTAGTACCTAAACTTTCATTCCCCCCAAAAAACTTAACGTTAAATTTTGAATGTTGGTACTAAAATGAAACAAAAACTAAAATTTTTAATGACAGGGGTACTAAAATGAAAAAAAAACTAAAATTTTTAACGACAGGGGTACTAAAATGAAATAAAAACTAAACTTTAGGTATGATTTTGAAAAACTTGAAAGTTCAGGTATTATAATGGACCAAAATTGATAGTTTAGGTACTAAACATGTAATTTACTCATTTTTATCAATCTAAGGGTGATTATAAGGTAATATCTGTTCGAAAGACTCTCAATTCATTTGATAATGGACATTTAAACACCCTTGTCATACAATGTGCTTAAACTCAATATCTTTAGAGATATCAACCATATCTTTGACTTTAACTACTAGGGTAGCTTGATTTTACTATTGCACTTCAAATTTCCATCAAATTATTGGGTAATTACATATAGGATAAATTATACGTTTAATACATAAACTATTAGTTTTGGTCTATTTTAGTATTTAAGTTTTAATTTTTTTCAAAATCATAACTAATATTTAATTTTTGTTTCATTTTAGTATCTGCCGTTAAAAACTCAACGGTCGGGCTCGTCGACCGCCGCATCTACAGTTGCTAGTTGTCGCATCTGTCTGCCTATGAAGCCTAAACTTTTTAGCCCACTGAATGCGATTTCGACCTCTGTTTCATCGGGAAATGCCTTAATCTCCCCAAATCGATTATGGACTATTCGATTTCTTCATCATTCGATCTCATGGTCCACCATCCAATGGAGCTGAAACTAAACTATGTTGGTTGACTTGTAATTCTCTTGTGGCCCAGCATTCAAATTGGTCGTTTGTCCATCGAAGCTATGCCACATTAGCCTTTTTGCTAAGTTTTTAATGACGAGGTACTAAAACGAAACAAAAAGTAAATGTTATGTTTGATTTTAAAAGAAAAATGTTTAAGTACTAAAACAAATAAAAATTAATAGTTTATGTACTAAACGTGTTATATATATATTAAAATAAGGTCCAAACATAGATAAAAAAAATTAACCATTAACAACGTATACTCAACTGCTTGAATCTAAAATCTCTATGAAAAATAACATTTTCTTTAACTATTGAGACCACCTTATAAATTCTAGTGAAAAAAATTCTAAATTTTCATAATTATAAGATCAACCGATTTTATAAATAAATGAATAATTTATTGAAGACAGTGGTTCAAGATGTAACCAGATATATATAAAAAATAGTTATATTATACAATATTATGTAATATAGTGGCAATGCTAATACTTAATTTGGACACGATAGGACCACTATGGACTGATATCGGTTTGAACCTAGGCGTTAAAGTGGCCACATTCACATCCTCAACTTTCTTTCCTTTCATCATATTGTTTACATCATTATCGTTTGTATTTTGTTTATTTATATTCAAACAACTTATGAATTTGAACATAGAAAAATAGAATTTATTTTGCACTTGTAACTAGGCTCAAATTTAATTAATCAATTACATAAATATTTCTAGACTTGAAACGTATTTAATATGTGCAATCATTTTAAGTTATAGTAAGGGCAAATATATATTTTTAATATTTAGATATGTTTTTTATTAATTTAAAAAATCAAGCATTAAATTAAATTATGAAATTAAATTTAAATATTTTTGTCGATCAAATCAGATTTTAAAATTTAAAGATCAATTTAAATTAAAAAACAAATTTATATATTAAAACGTATTTGTAGCTTATAACAAATGATGATAGCAACCATATATTCTAGATTCAAGCAAGCTATTGGTCATTGGTACTTAATTGTTGTTGTTTTTTTTAAAAAAATCTAAGAGTATTTTTTAAACTCGAATTTTACCGAATAATGAAAGTCTAAGCTAGGGATGATTAAAATATTTAAATTCAACGGACCTCGACTTGATCTGACCTTACAAGGATGATTTTTTTTTTAAATTTCGGGACTCGGGGACGGAACAAGTTATATAGTATATGATTTTGGGGTAGGATGGAGTCGAGTTTAAGGTGACCGTCCCGACTCGGCTAATTTATACTTTTATCTATATAATATTTAATATTTTAGAATTTTTTTTTGTATTATTAAAATATATTCTTTAATTATTAAAAATATAAAATATTGTAAAATATATTATTTTAATTATTTAAAATAAAACAAATAATTATAAATATATTATTATAAACTACAAATTTTAAAATATTAATATATTCGGATCGAGTTTGATCAAATTTAAAATTTTAGTCTAAAAGTCGAAATAGAAGAAAAATTAAAATTCACCAAGAAGAGAAAAAATCATATATAAAAAATTTATTTTATAGCCAAAAAATAGCCGTCTCCCCTGCGCCCATCCCTGGTCTAAGTAGATATCCAAGCCAGAATTTAATTTAGGGTATTTAACAGGAGTAAAAATCACTTGCCCTTGTTTGTGTCCTTATGCATGCCCAATCAATGTAAATTTGACATATGGACTAAGAAATTTCATGATGGATCCGAATTTGATTTAACATTATTATAATATATTTCAAAAAGATATTATCACCAATATTCAGCGTGCTACACATTCTTCTGTTGAAAAGCACAACTTACAATAATTTTTTTTTTTTGGTTTTGAGAGGTCTTTACTCATCTTTTCGATTTTCTCTTTATTTTTGTACTTTTCCTACTTCAAAACGAGTAATTAGTTGAGTTTTATTTTTTTAGTATATGGAATTGATAATATTTATTTCTTTGATTACATCGATCATAAATGGATTCACTTCTAAAATAAACGATGTATCACGGCGTATTAATATTTATTTTATGCTTACTATTATCAATTAACCTATTGCACAATAGTAAAACCTGTTACAACTATCTCCGCAAATTGCAAATCATACCATCCCATTGATTGGGGATTGGTTTTTAATTAGAATTACAAGTATGAAAAGATAAGAAATAGAAGCGAAGAAGAAGAAGAGCACCGCTTAAACAAAGAGGCAAAAGAGAAAGGAAATAGTATCCTTCCTCACGCATGTGTTACACGGGTAAAACAAAAAGAGTGACGTGTAGAGAGATGTGAAACAAATAAATGCAGAACATGGACGAGAAGTTGTCCGGGTTCATGTATACTTGATTTGTTTTTGAACTCCCTTTGTATGTAACTGTTTCCACCTATATTATTGGGTTTGCTGTTTAAGATAGCGAAGAGAAAGAGAAATCTGAGGTGTTGCTCTTTTTTCCTTGGGCGAATTTTAAGAAGAAAGAAATGGGAGGCCAAGACCAGCTGTTTCATGTTATTCATAAAGTTCCTCAAGGTCATTCTCCTTATGTCAAAGCCAAGCATGCTCAGGTATCTTCGCCTTTCTTTTAACGACGAATCCATAATTACTTTTAAAGGTCTATATATATATATATATTAATTACACAAGATATTTATATGAATTGAAGAAAATTTGAATTTCAGGACGATTTGTTCGTAAACAAACGATTTAGTTGTCAAAATTCTCTCAACTGCTAACAATTTGTTGAATTGCTTGAGGCAGCTGGTAGAAAAGGATCCGGAAGCAGCAATAGTACTGTTTTGGAGGGCGATAAATGCGGGAGATAGAGTTGAGAGTGCACTGAAAGATATGGCGGTGGTGATGAAGCAGCTCAACCGATGTGAAGAAGCCATTGAGGCCATCAAGTCTTTCAGAGGCCGTTGCTCCAAACAAGCTCAGGAATCACTTGACAATGTTCTTATCGACTTATACAAGGTATCACCATCTTTTCCTATTCTGATTCCAATATTGTTAATTGTTGATGGGAGAAATGAGATTATTGCGATTTCAACACTTGATTCTTTTTAATTTAAATAAAAAAATTGTGTGTGTTAGTTTTATAAAGGATATAGAAAATAAATGATCTAAAGAAGATGATGAAGAATTAGATATGCTTAAAGAGAATCAGTAGGACATAGATTCTCTCTACTTCTTGATTTTAATAAAAAAGAATGAATCGTCAAAAGTCCTTACAATCCTATTCTTTTTCATCAATATATATGGAGACTGAACTTCATTAATTCGAATTTAAATTTTATTTTGATCATAAGAAATATATAATTTAGTTCTCAGATCTAATTCATAAACTCTGAGAAGTCAAAAAATTAAAGCATTTAAATATAATGACGTAAGAGCCTCAAAACAAAATTTAAAATGATATAAATAAAATAAACGATATGAAAGTGAAATGGTCTAACAATTGCATTGTTCATGGCAGAAATGTGGGAGAGCAGACGAGCAGATTGAATTATTAAAACGAAAGCTAAGATTAATATACCAGGGGGAGATCTTCAATGGAAAACGCACCAAGACCGCACGCTCCCATGGCAAGAAGTTTCAAGTGTCGGTTCAGCAAGAAATTTCAAGATTACTGGTATGATCTCCATTTCCCGAATGTCTTTTTCCTTCTCAATTGAAACTTCAGTGGCGGATTTGTCAAAAACAAAATAATCTTCAATGGCGGAATATCACAGGGAAACTTGGGGTGGGTTTACATGCAAAAATCAAACTACTTGACAGCCGAGGTGGTGTATCGGAAAGCGCAGATGATCGACCGGGATGCCAACAAGGCCTGCAACTTGGGTCTTTGCCTAATTAAACAAGGCAGATACGATGATGCGCGGAATGTGCTCGACGAAATACTCAAACGAAAAGTTCCGGGTTCGGAAGACATTAGAGCCAGGAACAGAGCTGCGGAATTGTTGATGGAAATCAGAGCATTTGAGCCACCGTCATCGGAAATAGCAGAAATTCTGGGACTTGATGATGATTTCGTCAATGAGCTTGAACCGTTGATGAATGAATGGGCGCCGGTTAGATCAAAGAGATTGCCCATTTTTGAAGAGATCTCATCATTTAGAGATCAGTTGGCTTGCTAATACGATTAATTATACTTGTTCAAATGTATGGGTTAATGTATTTATGGTTGGATTAGTTCTTCCAGGAATATTGTTCGAAAAGAAAAAAGGATGTGTAGGAAAAAGGTGTGCTGTGCTATACTATAAATAATGATATCATTTATTTCCAAAACCTATTTGCCTTTTCTTTATGGAAATTTATCACATCAGTCCTTACTGCTTCAAATTATTTGATATATAATTCTGTAGATTAAGTTCACATAAATTTATATAATTATAACGTAATAATAATCAATAAAAAATATTAAAATTCTACCATATCATCACCTTATTGTCAACTAATATATGCACTAACACTATCTAAATCGTAAAATATTTATAATGATATTAATTAAATATTAATCTATCACGATTAAAATATTATTTTTTTATAGATTCTAGATTTGAAACTTTTGTGAGTAACGTAAATAATAAAAGAAAATATTATTTTTCTATAGATTCTAGATTTCAAAAGTTATGTTTATAGAATATGAAACTCTTTTAATGTATTTGTGGAATGTAACAATGAAAGTAAGTAGCTCTTTCTAGGCTTTTTCAAATCGAAATCCTTACATATATCATCCACAGATAAAGAATCAATGTTCATTTTCCAAATTTTGGTATCGAACTTGAATTATGAGCTCAGTGCATCGCTTACTCCGCAATGAAGATCATCGTCATATGCTCATTCGTTCAACAAACATGCATTCACCAGCGAATCTTAGTAATTTGAGCTTGGACAATGGTTATATCCGTCAAAGGCAGTCAACGACTTAAATTCGTCAAGCTCCCTTAATAATACCAGAAAACACATTAACCCAAACCATTTGAAATAATAGGTAACCACCGACTTATCGATTGGTAGAAATAATTAGGTAACAACAAGAATCGATGAGACGAGAATAAGTTTTTCCATCTAAAAAGAAAATAGGAACGATGGAGAAGATGAGTTTCACGCTAAAATGAAAAAAATATATATTTTACTAAATATTTCTATGCCGCATGTAAATTTTAATTAAATTCAAGTTATTTATTTAGTTAAATCTAATAATCATAAATTAGTATAAAAATTACTAGTTTTATGTAGTGTAAGTGGATCTTATCCATTTTATTATAGAGTATAGTATATAAATGGTCCCCAACTTTTGGATATGATTTTATTGAGTACTTTGACTATTAAAAGTTACAAAATGATCATTTAATTATAGGATGTTGATTTGTTGAGTCCCTCGACATTTAAAAATTACAAAATGGTCACATGACTAATCATTATGTTCAAAATTCATCATTTTCCATTAAAAATTTGACTGTAGTCTAAGCTAAATGTTAATATGCCATTTGAGATATGATAAATTTTGATCCCAAAATCTCAATCGACTATCATATCTCAAACAGTAGATTAATATCATACTTAGATTGTTAATAGTCGAAGGACTCAACAAAGCAACATCCTATAATTAGGAGATTATTTTGTAACTTTTAATAGTCGGAGTACTTAAAAAAATATTTTCATATAGTCGGGGTATATATATAAGAGGACGAATGATATGATGGGTTCAAGGGACTTTAACATAAATGAGAATGAAGAGTTTTTAATCCGGGCGTGACTATATATATAAACAGGTTTGAAGAGATTTTGATCTCCCTTTCCTTCACTACTAGAAGAACGCTTGCCTTTAATTTCTTTCATGGTCTGAGCTAGTCGATCCACGCACCATGAGACCCTCTGCTTGAGGCTCGAAACCAAATACAAGATACTTCATCTTATCAAATGAGTGTAGGATATTGTACACCTCCTTAAAAGTGAGTGTTTCACAACTGTACAGAATTGTGTCTCTGAAAGATGAATAAGGAGGTAGTGAACACAAGAGGATTAACCCTAAATCTTCTTTATCATACTTCACTTATAAAGTCTCTAGATCATAGACAAATTACTTAAATGCAGTCAGGTGCTCTTCAAGAGACGAACCTTCTGCCAACTTGAGCGAATAAAGATGTTGCTTTGAGTGCGCTGATCAACGATTTCTGTATGTGTAGTTGCTCTAATTTCGTCCACAAAGAAGTAATTTTTTTTCAACACATCCTGTAAATTTTGATTTGATAAGTGTAAATAGATATGAGATAGGATTTTATGATCCTTATGTTTTTCTTCGTTCATCCAATTTGACGATGTCTCATTATCAAACTCTTCCAAAGCTAAGTCCAATTATGAAGGACATCCCGAATCTTCACCTGCCACAATGGGAACCTAGTGTTTCGATCCAACAACGAAATATCATATTTTATTGTTTCCATAATCTCGAACTCGAGCTTTGATACCAATTTGTTATAACATCAGAACGATTATTGGAAAACAAATAAACACGATAAAAAAAAGAAAAACATCAATATTTTACGTGGAAAACCTAAAAGGAAAAAAAACACGGGTAGAGGGGAAGAATTTCACTAATATGAAGGGAGAAAATACAAGAGGATTTTAATGAAAGAAAAACTTGATATCTAACCTTTTACCTTTTATATCTATTTATGTGAATAGATACTTTATTAAAAAGTAAAATTAAATAAAGTAGAAATCTACTTTAATAAAGTTTTATACTTTTAATCAAACTAGGATTACTTTCCCAAATTTAAATATTAATTTATGTCACTTTAAATTTGAGTCAAACTCTAACACAAACCGAAGAGAGATTCATATTCGATAATTTGAGTTCTTCCATTAATGATAAGTTTACTCACAAGTTGCTTACAAAGGTTCATATTAATGGGCATGTGGGCGAACCTTCCATGACATCCGTTGTTGGTTTGATAATCGATTTTGACTGTCAATTGCTTCAATGAGACTTCTTTTATAGAGGGTAACCGAAAGTTTCAGAAGATGAATTCACGCCATGAGATGACTAGGGTGGGCTTGTGAAGGTTGAAAATCTATCGACCATGGCTCGATGGTTAAATAGTGGCAAAAAATTTACCAAGGTCCCTTGGTAAGGACTTTGAGATAGATTTTCAACCTTCACAAGCCCACCCTAGTTTTCTTATGGCGTGGATTCGTCTTCCGGGACTTCCGGTTACCCTCTATAAAAGAAGTCTTCTTGTCACTAAATTTAACCAAGAAGAATTCATTTTCTATATCCATAAGTTTAATGGGGTGAGATGGCTTTCAAATATTATAGATGCGGTTATGAAGGGTGTTGTAGCCAATCCGACGACCAAGGACTTTAACCACAAGCACTAAGTCCATACTTTTGATAGCCTATGATTGAGCACGTTTGGAGAAGTCGATGGTGGTGATGCCATTTAGAGATCCAATGGCAATGTCATCCTCTAGGAGTTCAATGTCATCTTCAACAAGATCTTCAATGTTGCCTTTGTTTTGGTCAATAGAATTTTCGTCAAGCATGTCTCTGTAGGAGATAAATGACCTAGGATCAGGAGATCGAGAGTCGCAGTCCATCTGAGTGTTTGGGGGAGGGGCAGGAGGGAAAGGTGTGGTGGAGTCCGAAGGATCTTCATCACGACTAAGTTGTTTTTTGAGGAATTTAAAGTCGAGAGCGTTTAGGGTGTTGTTTTTCATCGTTTTTTTATCTCTTACATGTCTTTAATCTCAAAACTGTTGAGCATAAGCATACATATCTTATTTGGAAATAAGGGTACCATTTGATTTACTCTCAATAAATTTTGTACTATATACATTCATAAACTAAACGATATTAAATCCTTATCGACAATGTACCTTTACTTATTTATTCTTGATTTTAAATATTCATTTACGATCAATGTATTTATGCGAACTTTTATTATTGTATAAAAATAGACAATAAAGTTTACATCTTTATTCTGTGGGTTAGTGTTGCGTACATGTTTAGTGGACCGGGTGATACAATATGTATGTAATATTTAATAAAATATTATTTTTAATTTTTTTAAAAAAATTAACCTTAATATTTCATTTTAGGAAAAAATGATTCATGATTGGATGAAAACTATTAATTTACTAATAATCAAAATTTTATTGTTGACGTTTCTAGTCTTGTATATTAAAAGTGATAATGTGGTTTGTGTCACACGTATATATGTGAAGTGACACATGGCATTTATAACGTCTGCAAAAAGTGTTGATCATTAGTCAACTAACGATTTCTATACAATACTAAAAAATAAAATGTTGAGGCCAAAGTTTTTTTTTAGAAAAAGGAATAGGAGTTAAATTCATTATGTTATCAAAATTAAGGATATTTTTTGATATTATACCTAAAAAAAGAAAAAAAATGACCATTCAGATAATTTATCCATTAAAATATTCTAAAGTTTGATGATAAATTTAAAATTTAGGCATAGAATAGAAACGTTTGGGACAATTAAGTCCAAAAACATATTATCTTGTTGAAGCCCATGTATATGTGGTAGAGCCGGCTGTTCATTAGCATGCAGGTATCAACCAAAACAAAATCTCCAAGCCCAGTCAGTTGGATTTAAACACCAAAAACCCAAACCCATTTTTATTGCAAGAAAATCTACTAGATTGGTCGCAGGCAAAGGAGGTAGAAAAATATCAAACATGGAAGCTCAAGTCTGAGGACTAAAAGAAGAACAGACTCTTACCGAAAAAAGAAGAGAAAGTAGCAAGTTACAGAGATTAAGCATGAGTGGTCTGGCTTCGGCTCCAGCACCCACTTCTACTTTCCCCTCGACTCAACAATCTAAGATTCGAAGCAGGCTTTGTATTAGTCCTTGTAACTTCGCTGTGATTCCTAGTACCAAGCTATGTTCCTCAGATCTCAGTCTTACAAGTTTTAGCTTCGGTGGCGCCGACGTGACTCGGAGACGCAGTGTTATCTCCAGAAGTAGCACCGGACCCGGCGCTCCTGGTTCAGGTGCAGTTCCTTTGCGTGATTTTTCTTTGGTGTTCAAATTAATCGAGAACATATATTAACATAATGATTAATATCTTTGATTCCTTGAGTTGAAATTGGATTTGGGTGTTTTTTTTGTGTGTGAAAATACACAATAGAGGGTGTATTTACACATGAACGAATCCCCCCTAATTTT